AGAGAGAGAGAGAGAGAGAGAGCATGCGGCTCTGGCCGAGTACCTCGGGCTGAGGCGGTCGCTCCCACAGGCCAGGCACCTTGAACACAGACGTAACAGTCACATAGGGGTAGCCGGCACGGAGGGCCACATAGGGGTGGCCAGCATGAAGGGTCACATAGAGGTAGTAGCACAGAGGGCGTCGCACGCCTCCGACTCCGTAGCGTGGGTACAGAAGTGCCGTTAATAAAAGTAGCAGGAGTGCAACGTGTTAGAGAGAAAAGAATGCCTCCACCACGCCAACCGACCCACCGACAAAAGGCACAGGGGCTTCATGTAACAAGCTGGTCTCCCTACACTTACCCGCCGTGTCACTTATCCGCCCAAAGCGTTCAAACAAAGTTTAGGCGTGGCTCAAGAATGATTGCCACGGCGGGGTTCCGCTGGGAAATTACTAACTAATCCGGCGCGTCGGCCCGGCAGCCGAGCCCTTGTTGACGCACGCTGCAAAAACTTCCCACGCCGCTGTCGCAACTTTGGCCGCGCCAAAAACATCACCGTCTCATTAGGCGGAACTTTAAGAGGGAAGTTGGTCCGGCCGGCTCGCTCCCCTCGCCGTGCGAGCGGCCTGCCCCGTGCGTCTGTCTGGCCCGGTGCGAGCAGCCGGCCCGGCCCAGCTGATCGTGGGGTGACAGTCGTGGCGGCGGTCCGGGCTGCCCCGGCCGGCGCATGTGTCTGTGCCGACACCAACCCGCACCGGCCCAACAGAATCCGTCTCGTCGCCGGCGATTCTATTCAGACCACGATGGTCGTGAGGGCCCAGCTTTCGGACATTGTTGGTGAGGCAATGAGAAGCAGAATGAAACAGGGCTACTGAGCGCCCGAGCCAGGCCTGGTTTACGGTCCGAGACGGGAAGGCATGAGCTGTGACTCTCGGGCGGAGTCGGCAGCCTTGGTTGGACCACAGCCGCTCGTGACCGGCACCGACACAAAGCGCCAATAGGGTGGCGCTGACTGCGACGGGATGCTGTACGCAGTGGGCCGCAATGGGCCCGACCATGACTTCAAATGCCGTGCGGCCGCTGAAGGTGTGACGGGACGAGCATCGACTGGATACACCCCAGTCACTGCACCGCCGGCCGGGGGCGCGGAGGGGCGCCGCCAGGGAGGAACGCGCGAACGGTACAATCTCGGCGTAGTAAGAGCAGCGCTGTCCTAGTCCAGGGCGCACGAATAGAGAAACAGAGATGGCGACAGAGCAGGATAGGACGGAGACACGCGGCAGCCGCCCTAGTGGAGACGTGGGCGCATCACAGCCACAGCCCCACCACACCGAGCCCACCGCGGCGGGCGGCCGGCGACACGCGCTCACAGCGTTGGAGTGCGTCTGGTCGGTCTTCAGCTCCTTGTGGTTGGAGAACTGAACGTAGACGGAGCGGCCACGCAGCTGGGCAGTGCCGTTGGCGAAGTACGTCACCATCTGCGTGGCCACCGCCTCGTCTGCCATCTCCAGGAACGCCTGGGGGCGGGGCAGAGCACTGTAACGCCGGAACAGCTCAGGTCGCTAAAGCCACCAAACGGGACTTTCAGCGCGAAATACGACGCGGCGCCGCCATCAACACACCCGCGCTACAAAGAACAAACAAGCGCGCAAGCCTTTTAGTGTGTCCCGGATTCCGTGCTCAGGATCATTACTGGAATAGAAAAAAGCACGAGACGATATGGCAAAGGAGCCGTCGCGAGCCGTGCACCAGCGCGTGCTCCGAGTGCAGCGAGCCCGGCGCGCCGGCCCGGACCACCGCCGCGGCCGGCTGCTGCTGCCGGTTCGGCCCGGCCTGCCGCACATTAGCCGCCCCTGCCGACACAAAGTCCCTTTGATTTCCCCCACGTATACGAATGGGATTAGTCACCGGCCTACAGGGTCGGTCTGAAATGGAGTGCGCTCCCCGGAGGCGCGCGGCGGCCGCCAGGATAATGTCCGCCTGTCCGTCGACCGCCTGTTTCAGCAGCGGCCACCAAGTGACCGAGAGCCAGTGGGATGACGTCACCTGCGGCGGCCGGAGGCCTGCCACGACCGGTCCGTCGCCGGCCGGCTGTCCCTTCTCATCGAGCCGGCGCCCGCGGCACGCGCTGGCTCCGGTGCCTTCCCGCCGGAGCGGCCGCCGGCCGACTTTTTCAACCGTTTCGGCCGACAAGCGCCGCGGGCTCGAGGAGAGAGGGGGGGGGGGGGGGGCGGGGGACACCTGCTGCCGGCTGGGCGATGGTCGGCGGTCACTGCAGACGGACTGTGTAGCGGCGGGGCTCTGGTCTCTCACCAGTCACGGGCGGCAGACAGGTGCCCCCCGTGCCGGACACCGGCCGGGTGGCAGGTATAAACAGTCGGCCACGGCGCAACGGGCACTGTGTATCCCGGGTGTAAACGACGAACACCAACGCCTAACTGCTTACATCGGCTCGTCCATTACTCGACCTGTGCATATTTTCGTTTCCCTTCCGGGCGATTTGGAGCGTCAGCGGCACCGCCGCCACAAACGGCACGAGCGTCGGTTCCGGCCCGCGCCGCCAGACCCCGAGCACAGGTGCCGTCGGGCCTGAGTCAGAGCTGGACGTGGAGGGCTGCAACTGAGCCAGCGCCAGAGCCAGAGTCTGGTCCCGAAGCGGGAGCCAGAGAGCCGGGGAGCTGAACCCAGCGAGGGGCTGAAACCAGGGCCAGAGTCTAGTCTCGGAGTGGGAGCCAGAGAGCTGGACCCAGCGGGGGACTGAAGCCAGAGCCGAAGCGGTGCGGGGGCCGGGTGGGCGCATCGAAGACATTCCGTTCTGCTCGACAATTGAGCCCGGCTCGGGCCGCTCGGCGGGCGTCCACGGAGGCAAACGGCCGGCTTTAGCCCCTGTACGGCGTGCTGGGGCGGCACGGCTGATCGCCGGGCTCTACGCACGGCTGCCGCCGTCCCTCCCCGGCCCACACTGGGTAGTGGGGTCCCACGCGGGGTGACGTCACACCCGGTATAGGGGCTCACCAGCGTCACATGCTCTGCTGCTGATCTCGGATATGCTGGATGTGTATTATGAGACGCGGCAGCGTGTTCCATCGCGGCTGGATACAGAACGACTACCCTTCCGTCAGATCAGCCCGCGCAAGAAGTTGATAACCTGAGTTAGCGCATCCTGTCTTTGTATTAGGTATCAGCCGTGTTCTACAGTCATAACGCCATCCAGATATAAGTTCACCTTACTGGAATCTCAGTTTCGAACGGGCTCGGGACTTCCTCGATCTGTGCGGAATTGCACAACTTGTAGGACAAGAATCGCTGCCATAAGAAACACGTTACCGCTGCATCCTACTGTTTTTGATAAATAAGAGAATTGAAACGGCATCACTTGTCGTGTCATTGTGTCAAATTGTTTTCCGATGACCTAATCTACAGCTGCTCCAGGCGAGCACTTATGGCTTCCAATATAACCGGCAGCACGTCTGGGACCAGCGCCAATACAGCATTTATTGTCGGCATCCGATTTGTTAGAAGGCCTCAATGCTTTTTGATAAGTTACGGCCAGCTGGCATTACATAGTGTCTAAAGAAGATGCAAGGAGCAACACATTCGGATCCAGCCTGTGATACTGCTTCTTCCAGTTAATTCCAAAGGGTCCGCTGAAACGATACGAAACGTCTTGAAAAACAGGTAAGCACATGGTATAAAAGCGTTCCGAGGCCCAAAACTCCATGATGTCTCTCGTGGGGCATCAATAGAAAATCTCTGAAACCTTTGCGTGGATCCCGGCAGACGTAACTTTAAGCCTGGAGAAGGGACCTCCAAATCGAAAAACAAAAGAAAAAGAATGGCAATGCTCGGGTCATGAATTCGAAAAAAACCGCCTCGGGCTATCTGGCACGGGATGCTTGTGAGCAAGATGTTTGCTAGCATATCATTTGCTTGAGACTTGGCGGCTTGCATTTTAGTCACATATAACCTGATATATCAAGTCTATTAATGCAGGTGAATAACAAAAATGGATGCACTGGATGCAGATTAGAACGGCCGAGTGTCTAGTTTTATATTGGATTAGAGCTTAGGTGGGGCGGAATTAGCCGGGTCTGGATTTGACGGAAAGTGTTTTATCTTGTAGTCATCCACTACACGGTTGCTTAAACATACAGAAGCGAAGGCTCAAAACACATTGGCAACCGAAGACCACAGTTCAGAAAAAAGTGTTTCCCTCTAAAAGTTATTGGGCAACTTTTTAGTAGATTGCGTCTCGCCTGGAGAGGTGAAACAGCCATTTGTGCGAGTTAAGAGCCCGAAAGAGAGGCAAAAGTCCACCTACGCCATAACATATGTGTGCATCGTATTGTGCGTCGCCCGGAGAGCACTAAAATGATGCATATCTTCTTCGGTACACTTCGGTTGGGTACACCGTCTGAATATAAAGTTATGCGCTGCGATCTCTGTTGCACCCACTAGATTCAGCATATCCCCAAAAGAGCAAAAGCACACGCCTTTATTTATCCTGAGGACAGTGTGAGAGCCGTTGAAGAGAGCAATAAGGCCCCAGTTCCATTATAGTTCATCCACCCACTGCACGTCACCTATCAGAAGCCCCCATTAAAAGGGCGCACCAATAGCTTTTTGAGTTAAGAAGTAGACGTTTATCGTGTAAGCACTCGCCGCTTCATCCGTCGTCGCCTTTTGCCTGTCTTCTCTTCTCGTTGTACCGCAATAAACACGCGGTCTCGGCTTTAGCTGTGACCCTACGGAAAGCGCGTGCTTGGTAGCGCTGCATTCGCTACAACAGTGACCACGGCTTTATTGTCGAACACAAAGCGCATGGCGGCGAGAGTTTGGCTGTTCAGTATTCTTGGAGGGCTGAGAGACCACTTTTGGTGAGATAATATTTTGTCCGTTCAAAAACAGCGAAACATTCTTTAAAAGGCCCTCTCTCGTCGCGTCTCGTAACGTACCCCGGCAGTGTAGTCACGCAGTATAGTTCAGTCATGTGGTCAGTCCAGTGTACGCAGCACGCCAGTCCGGCCGTCTTTTATTACCATGAGTCCAACAATTGTGCCGGTCCAGCCGCCACATCAGTCCATCTAGTGCACTGGTCCGCCCGTCGCGTCCGCCCAGCCATCGCGCCAGTCCGCCCGTCGCGTCCGCCCAGCCATCGCGCCAGTCCGAACGTCGCGTCCGCCCAGCCATCGCGCCAGTCCGAACGTCGCGTCCACCCAGCCATCGCGCCAGGCCGCCCGTCGCTTCAGCCTAGCACAGCAAAGACGGCACGGCACCACGTCAGTCCAGGCCCGTCCGACGGCTGGAATGCAGGGTCACCAGAGGTGGGGTGCGCGTGCGACGCGAATAGGTTCGAATAAGCGGCGCAATCTGGTAGGGATTAGGAATCATTGAACCTGAATAGCATGTCGCATGAGAGGGTGCCGCCGGCCGGCCGTCGGGCGCCGCCAAGCCGACATCGATGCTCCGTGCCGACGTGCGGACGTTCTAACGTGCGGACGTGCGGACGTGCAGACGTGCGGACGTGCCGGTGAGGGCGACAGCACGCCAGAACACAGTGACAACGTTCCCGACCCATTACGGCCTCTTCCGGCCCCGATTTCTGGCGAAGGAGTGCGGCACTCGACACCCGCCGGGGCGCAGTCCGATTATACCGGGCAATGCCCCCGACCATGGCAGGCGGAAGGCATGTATTATTCACCAGCATTCCTCATCGAAGCCATCTGGCCGAGACCGATGGTGTTCCACAGGCGTCGCCTTGAACTTGCGCCGGCAGACGAATGGGGCGGGGCCACAGCCGGCCCGCACACCGACGGTCAGCCACTGACGGCCAACAGCCGGTCCCACGCAGCGTCGGGCACAGCCGGCCTCGGCTCGGCTCGGGGTGACGTCAGCGGTGGGAGCGGGTGGGCGGACGTGCCGAACGGCACAGGCACGCCCGGCCACGGCCACCGCGCCGGCTGTGGTCGTCCGCTGAGGCGCCGCTCGATCCCAGCGGGCAGGCCAGCGCCCGGACCGAGACACAGGACCCGGACCGGCAGCCGACGCCCGGCCCGGACCACCATCTCAAGTGGGGTCCGGACCACCAACCAGCACGGGTCCGGACCGGCGGCCGACACCGCACCCGGATCACCACCTGAAGCGGGATCTGAACCGGGGGGCGACAGAGGACCCGGTTCCAGACGACACGAACCGGGCCGTTCCAGCCGTTGACACGACAGTCACACCGTTGGGGACGATACGAATGCTAATTCGAAATTAGGGGCCCATATCGCCGGATAAACGCGGCCTGGTTGGGACTCGCCTGACCTCCGGCAGCTGTTTCAGGAGCCACCAAAAGACCATCGGTCTCACGAGCGTCACTAAAAACACGACAAGGTAAATGCCTTCAGATCAACCCGTGTTTATCATGCACAGTGACGGTGAGCCCTCTCAAGACATAGGGAGGGGCGCTTCCGTCCGAGCCGCGCGATATGTAGCCCCAATGTTAGGTTTTAAGCCCAATGATAATGTCAAT